ACACAACAATCATGTCCAGCCACATCTGGACCACATTGTCACTTCACATTGCTGGTCCTTACCAACAAATTACAAGGCTACAAGGTGAACCTAACGCTTCAGCACAGGTTGGACCAGTCAAACTTCACAAAATGCCAACAATTCAAACACGGAGACTCGACAACGACATCAAAAATCAACTAATCCTGACAGTTGGACTGTGCAGTATAAACTACTAACTGCCACATAGCAGACATTCTCTGAGATGCCCCCCTCCCACACTTCCTGACCAGGTATATATTTTCCATTCCTTACAGCCTCCAAATCACCCAGACTCTGAGTTTCAAGCCAACCAGGTCATCTGAACAATTTTCCCTTCAGTCTATCACTTTTATGCTACAATATTTCACACTTGGACAAGGCTAGTTGCCTATTATTTACCTACAATACATGGAGTCACATATACAGTTATTACAAAGTTACATTTTCCATCCATCTCTACAGGAGAGAGTCAGGTACTAATGTCTTGCAGACATTTTGTCATTAAACCAATGCCTTTAGGTCTTTATCATAGTCCAGCACTATCACTTTTCAGATCCACTTAATGCAAGAGGCAGGAAAACATATGGAAGTCAAAGCAATTTCACAAAAATCTCAAACCATACATACTGTTTAGATAACGTTATTACCACATCTTGGATAAGTCTTTGATCTTCTAATTCTGTCCCAGTGATTTGATTTGTGCTTGAGTTTCTGTTCCCATTTAGTCTACAACTTGAAACATGCCTAAGTAAGTTACCCTACTTTTGCTACAGTGTCAGCCTCTAGTTTCACATGTTTCCTATTACAACGTGTGTAAACACAAGTTTAGAGACCTGGGCTTTATTTGCCTTGAAGGAATTTTCCAAGAAAGTTCAAACAAATTAGAGCTGCAAAGTAGGAGAATCGCACTCTGAAGCACAATGCTCCCATTTGACGAGCGCCCAGCTTATTTTACAGTGTGCTTGTGAAGATGTAACTGTGATTAAGCAGCCAGTATCTTTGCAGAAGTGTCAGCTGTACAAATAAGGTGTTTGTTCAACGAGGTGTTTGAGGGGAGATGAAAGTGTTTCTGATCTGCCAAAACACTCATGGTCTTGTGACCTGGGTAATGTGCGATGGTCATGCCTAGTAAACAAAGGTACAACATTTGTGAACCCCAACATCCAAACATTAAGTTTCACTATAATAGCACTTTTGCTTCAAAAAGAGTAGATCTAATCAGTGTAGATAAAAGAAATTTTAAAATGTTCCCTAGCATGTTAATGATCAGAAGTCATGTCAAAATACAAACTGGTACTATCAGGCAATTACCATTTATTTTTGATAGCTCAGACATCTTTGTTCTCAGTGACCAGATAACACCACTGCCCTTACTTATTTTATTTCATTTAATTCTTTGTTTCAGGCCAAAGGCCCATATAAAAAATAGGAACAACGTATACTTTGAAGTCCAAACTAAAGATCACAGTTTTATATATATTTTACATTTCAAAGAATCTAATGTAATTTTTCAAGTGATTTCGAAGTTTTATATATTTGACAGTCAGCCTTGTTTGCATAGATCACAAGCAGAGCATCAACTGTCTGTGATGTGTAAATGTCTGCCAAGAGGCCCTAACCACCCACAGGCCCCACTACACATGTCACTACACAACCATCAAAGGTACAAATTAACTTCAGCATGCTGGAATGTGCTCATGGGGCAATCAGTTGGCTCTTCTACAACAGAAAACATGCCACACATTTACAGGGAACTTCTTCAAACTCTGGGACATAGGTAACATTCCTGTCTACATAGAATAGACAAGTTTCTGTTTGAATGGCACATGTAGTAGTCTCTTTCAGGACACGAAGTCAAAACCCCAACCCCAAATGATAGCTGACATTATCAGGTGTACATGTCAACTCCCCACATCTGCTTGGTAAATGAATTAATGAATAAAGAATCTGCATGTACATTTACCTCACTATGTGTACATCCAGAATATCTAAATTGCATGATATTTTTTACACGTCCAGTATCTTGAATGGTTGGACCTACATTGTAGCTACAGCCTCTATAGTCAGTTTGTGGCACTTACATGTATATAGTTAATGGTACATTGTGTGTGGTTAACCTGTCAGAATTAATACACCATTGGCACAGTAAAGCTTTCCACACCTGTCCATCCAACATCCAAGGTTCTGAACACCTACCTGAACGTCATACATGTACCTATTTTTTTTTAATTTCATAGCATTCATTGTCATTCATATCAAAATTTCTTTTCTTAATCAAATTTTTCTTACTCATGAAACTTTTGATTGACCCACGATCACCTAATACATCTCAACTGCCCTGTTATAGGCAAAGCATTGTGGGGGAACATCACATTGCTTTGCACTTACGATAGAAAGGAGATATACTTACAAACTACATATCCCGTCCGCAAACACCAATCAGCACAGGCCACAGGAAGGTAGACCATGTTTTCATCAGGGACCCCAGCATCACAGCGCCACATTTACACATGTAAAGGAACACAGAAAATACTCCATCAGCAAAGATGAGCATTTTCTGGAATTAATGAATAAATTGCCAACCAACAATTGCTCTAATTCCCTGGGAGTGTTGGTGATAACAGACCAACATCCTCGCACAAATGGGACCTCGCCAGTTGCTCCTGCCTGATACATAAGTAAGCATTTGTCGGCTGTTAGCACGAATGAGCCGATGTGACTTGCTATTGTACAGGGAGACATTCACCCTCACTATAACATTAATATCTTTGCCTTGTTAATCACTTTCCATCAGATTCAATTTTTCAGAAGCTGAAAAGCATGAAGAATTTACATTTTGCGTTCCCAGTGGGTGAAACGTACTGTTGGTAATGAATTAATCACACGGCTAATGAACCACTAAAATCATCACTCTGATATGCAGATGGGATTTCTTAAAACAAGCAGGAAGCAATATGCAGGGAGTTATGATTGTCAAAATGAAAATGGTTTTTAACAAAACACTGCTTCATGAAGAAATATTTACTGCATGAAAATTCAAAGTAGCATAATAATTAATTTACATCTTACTATCAAGCATAAAATATGGTTATCATTTTCTTGCAGTCATACATGTTAGTACCTATTAACAGCAAGCAAAATGATATTTGAAACAGGGCAAATTCAGACCAGTAGCAATGAATATACATTTTCGTACACATCCCACTTCTTTTTGTTGCCAGTTTTGATACACTGTAAAAGTCAGTCAACGAGAACAGTGACCCAATGCCTGTCAGCGACAACCACATTCCTCTGTTCCTCAGCAATGTCTTAATGGTCCCTTCGATCATGTGCCTGTCACCCTTTGTTCCTATCTTGTCGCCACAGGCCTGGTCTCCAGTCTGATGCCACAGAGATATTACTGGGACCTGAAAGGTATCTAGCCGAGGATCCTACAAATCACCACATCCCCAACACGGGGCTGGACACAGCACGTTCCAACTGTTATCATGTCAACATGTTGCTACATCCCACTGTATTTGTCAACAACAAGATGGCAACTACAGATAGATTGCCTGAGTAGAGACCAGACGCCTAAAGGAGAATGTTATCTCTCCCCCAGAATGTCTAGAACAGTAGTGTGGTGCTAGCCCCAAGCTATAAAAACAGGCTTCTTCTAATTTAGAAGTTTTGCCATGATAAGGATAATTATAGACAACACAAAAGGTATGATCCTGTTTATTCTGACTTACCCCCTGTCCACCAGTCATGTGTGCCACACAGCCAGTTGTCCAGTAGGGCAGGAGCAGAGAAAAGAGGAGAAAAACAGAAAACAGTTTAACATACATGTTATTGTAGGAAACAGCTATTGTCTTAGTGTGAGCTATTTGTTTAGAAGCTCACAGATGTGAAGCTGAACCTATTTTCTTTCAACTAAGATTCATATAATTAATTATATCTGCTGACATCTTTACACACAATGTTACAATGTACATAATGAATGCATCACACAAACATTAATCAATCTCAACAGATTTAACCAAAGTTTTGAAATAAAATGGTGTAAGATTATTAAAAGTGATAATGACCTATGAATCCATACTAGTTTAGATCTAAGTTACTTGTTAGATCTCAGCTACACATAGTATAGATTCATAGCTAATATTTTGAAGCATTGCATTATTTTACCATATGTTATGGCCATGAAATTCACCCTGAAGCATATGTCTATGTAACCAATGGGTATATTTCTAAGTTATGTAAACATTCAGTTGAACACATACACATACACATACAAAACAAGATTGAATATTCTAGGTGTCTTTGTTTCATCCTAGTCACAAAGAAATTCAAGGTGATCCATTTTTCTGAAGATTTGAGTGAACAGAAATGGTGGTCAGTGGCTGCATTTTGACAAAAGCCCACTTGTAAATAGGATAATCCTCTGTTGCACATTGTAAAGTGCAGAAGTGTATCCTGTGGTGAGCCTATTCACAACAGCCAGAAGACCAAACTGAGCCAACTAGTAAATTAGATTAAGTACACAGTCTCTGCCATTTACCAGCCATGGGCTGGGGTCTGGAATGTCATTTGCTTCCAGAGGTAGTTGAATAACCCAACATCCCAGTCTTTCTGAATATGGAGATGGGTTTCTAAAGGGACAAAGGCGGTCTTCTGTTGGTGTAACTTACCGAGACAAAATCCTGCGTAGCAACGCCGGGTCAGCACATGAGAAAAGAAGAAAAACATAAAACCAATGGTTAGAAAAGGTTTGTCTCCTTGCAGAAGAAACTTCTGTTATAAGCTAGGAACATTACAAATATCTGACATGAATCTAGCTACTGTAAACTTATACTTAACAAATGACCACAAATGGGAAACTAATGAAACTGTAATAGTTTTATGACAAGGATTTCTCCTGTTGTAGGCTGGTAAGTACATGTTGGCTGTCTACAGTGGCCACTCAAAAAGCCATCTGTCATGTCAGCAGGTTATAAATCAGGCCATACAGCCTGTCACAAAACCTCCCCTGCCTCTCCTCTCCTCTCAGGACTCTGCCACATGTTTGGACCTTCTGTGTGGTTACCATGGTAACAGACTGTGTGGGGTGTGACAGACAACATTTCTGTATCCTGGTAACCCACGCCTTATCTCCATCCCTCTATGTAAACACCACAGAGCCTGGAGAGACCATAAAAATGTAGGACTTCATGTCTCATTGGCTTCACACTGAGAACAAAGCTGCCTCATCATCACTGCCAATTCTCACCTACTTGTCAGAACCTCCTATTTACTTTACAAACTCCCCCCAGTCTCTTCATCTATCAGCCTGCCCTGTTTTTCTGGATCTCTGGCAGAGTTGGTCCCCATATACAAGGTTTGAGATAGGCGAGCGTGTCTCTTCATGTTGCCGCATACAGTCAACACAGTGATAAGATAGCGACAACAACCTCCTTGTGTGTACCTGTGTTTTTACTGATATTCTCACAACATCAAAGAACTACTGATAACAATGCTAATCTCCGTGAAAAGATTTACAAGCTATTGACATGGAAAATTTCCAATTCAGAAGGAAAGGAAAGCTTGAAATAATTCACTCATGAGACAACAGATGGTTGCATTCAAGCACAGTGGACAAGGACTGCAGGATAGACAGACAGAAAGGAGCACTGTTGCTATTTCCAAGTGAAATGGGGCAGGGGAAACTTATCTGGATGCCATACACAGGAATACTGAGTTGACAGTCCTGGCTCCTTGGAACAACATTAGAGCCAAACAATGTAATACTCCTATACACAAGATATTTGAACCTTGAACCGCGGGCAATTTATCCTGCCGACCCAGTCCCACGTTCCCCTTGTAAAACTTTAACATACAACATGTCCTAATCTGGCAAAACAACCAGGGGAATAAATCAACTGTAGTGGCGCCATAACTAAGCACATGTTTTCCCCTACAAACTTGCAGATAGAGGCCCATTAAGATAAGATAAGGTGCATCAAGGTCCTGTTTGTGGCCCCTATTAATAGACTTCAGCAGGAATATAGACTTGTCTGCATACCAGCCACATGCCAACTCAACAAAATCTCTCACAATTTACAGGATGGATTTCAAAACTTGACCGATTGAGCACATGTTTTACAAATTCTGAGGTTCACAACGGGAGCAAACAAGATGTAAGTGTAACCAAGACAGGTTTACACAGGATTAGTGTATTTGCCTGGGAGTATTTACAGCATATGTGGATGGACATTGGACCAAATGGACTCAATATGACGGGACATCACAGATATTTGGACTATCCATGCAAATCTTATTAAGGCTGAAATCTGCACATTCCCTATGGGTCCAGACTTGACTGATAATGATGAGGATCTCCCCACTCCAACATTGTGCTGGTCCAACACCCTGGATAAGTAACAGATGGCACCACAGGCAAAGTTAAAAGGATTACAAGAGTCAGACTGGCATTTTCTCATCTGTGCAAATTGATTACAAACTTATCACAAGTGTAGATGGTTGTGACTCACGCTGGGACTTCAGACAAAAGAAAGTCATCAGTCTCCCAACATATGACAATGGATTATAGTCCTGACCATAGAAGTACACTGTGTTCCTTTGTGAATATTGGTGTTGTACAGTTCACACCATATTTGTAGCCTGGTTAACCCTGCCCCTGGGATATGAACCTATAACAAAGGACTTTCCACCACCGAACAGTTGGACCATACAAACAATTGCCTGGTATATTGCATGTTTTCTTTCAGTCAACTTTCCATGACAAATCCTAACATGTTGGCCGTTCTATCATAAGATGAGAAACATTTAAAAACAAGATTAGAATATATTCAGTACACCTTTTCCTCTCTATTTTGCTATAAAAGGGTTGCTATAACTTTTGTCACATAAAATTACTTAGGTTGGTCAACCATCTACTGTACTAAAATATATGTGAACATTTTATAGAATCAAAACATTGGAATTTGGTAATAACCTCCATGATATTCCCCTGTATAATCAGGTCATTGGTTACAATAGGGGGACCAAAACCAGGCCGCATCCCTTTCTCTCATACATGCAGCAATGTTGACTTCTGACCTGATCTCCCCACTTAAAAACCAGGGAGAGTGCAGGCTACATTGTGCAGCAAATGTAGCATGACTGGAGGTTACACAGGCACAACCACAGGATCATCAGAATGGGCAGGTTTGTCAGGACCTGGGCATGGAAACCTTCACACTTCACAAACTTCTACCATTCTTCAACCTTCTAAACACACTTTCTCCTGTAGTAACTGTGGTGTAAAACTGTGGGATGGTGAAGCTGCAGATATGGTGGCTTCCCTGAACCTCTGACCTTACAAATGTTTCCATCAGGAGATCACTCCAAGGTTAGGGCTGGGGAAAATGTTGTTATTGGAAAGTGTCACTCTCAATTCATAACAAGCCCAGCTGCAATAAGTAAGATGGTAAGAGTAGATGTGATACTAATATAGCTCATAAAGTGGTCATCATGAGGGACATAAGACACATTAGATCCACCTTAACACAGGCACTTTTACACACTTAACACAAAGGGCTTTTCACTTAATGTAAAGCAAAACATGACATAAATCTGTCGGCTGTAGGCAGGGATTGCTGCAGGCAAGGTTTTAGTATGGAGATGATGAATACATGTCTGACAACTCAAGCCTTTTTATGTTCCTACGTAATTATGAAGCACACCTGCAACTTCTGTTTCCATCAGACACCTTTTCACACCATTAAATCTAATGTCCGTCATACATGATACATTTTGACGGCAAGGGAAAGCCGAACAATCATACAGCCAAGCTATAGAAACCATCAACAAAAGCTTTTAACGTATTTTGAAATCTGGTTCAACAATTTTTTTCCATCATTTGAGTTTCCTACAAAACATTTGATGTTTGCTTTACAGGTAATACTTTGCCTGCCAAAAGTTTAAGTTTTGAATAAAAGACCTCTGAAAGGCAAAGCAGTTGTCTTAGCACAAAGTCAGACAGGTCCACATCAGGTTGGCTACTGCACACCTGGCTAGACAAGATCAACATTAATTCTGGACCTTTGCGACAACATTGCCTTAAGAGCACAAAATCAGACTTGACTATCAATAAAACAAAGTCTTCACACAGTGTTCGGGCCAAAGGTGCCACTTGCACTGCTGAGGATGCAATCAAGCACAAAAGGTCCCAAAATCAGAGGGCAAGCCCTGTGGAAACAGGGTAGGAACAACTGACCCTGAACAACCTTGTCCACATTAAAAATACATGTTTGGGGGCGAGATGGAAGCCAGCCTAGTGCTGGTGTACATGTTTAAGGTATCTTAATAACATTGCTAAAGTAGGGCAGAGATTGTACCTGCAGTAGGTACAACTGTAGCAGAGAGACCATGCATGAGTGCTGATCGGTCCTGACAGCTAGCATGGACTCAACAAAGCGAGCGTTACAACATAATTACCAGCAGCCAGCCACACCTGTGTAAATTATGAGCACTCTTTTACCACTTGAACATAAAAGAACAAAGAAAACAACTGTTACAAGTCATTATTCTTGCAAATACAAGTTTCCCTACATGCCAATAGCCGGCCGTGGTCGATACTTAAATGTAAACTTTGGGAGGGGCAATGCAAACACCACACACAAATGAATAAATAGTACAATCAGAGGAATACATGAGGAGATAGTGTTCAGTTGGTGGAAACATGATGAAGTGGCCTCACCTTTTTGGAGGCGAGGTTGGGGTCCTGAGATAGCAGCCTCCTGAGTGCAGACACATTGCCCACAGCTGCCTTCAACATCCACTCTTTCTCCAGAACATCCAGCTGCAAAGGGGAGGGGGAGGGAGGGGGTGAAAGAACATGTTGAATTGGTGCATCGGCATGTGTGATAATTGTGCAGGTGCTGGGAAGATTGTTTTTAGGCCGGTAACAAGCGACTTATCCATGCAGAATTGGCCCTTTCAATCATCTCAATGCTGCTGGTAAAGCCAGATGAATGAAGACCTTTGTTAAGTACTTTGACCAAATTAGATAGGAAACAGATAGAAGCGGCACAGGTTTTGAGGTGTCCTTGATGCCATCCGTGAATCATCTTGCAAAGACAGCTGCTTTCAATAGTAGGGCTCTTTATAAGTGTTACCGGGTACCACTTTTTGAGTACAGATTTTCAATCTACGGGGTCCAAAGTTTAAGACCAAGCAAACAAGGTGGAGTCTCAAGTCTTTACATGCTGTTCACATATATGCAGGTCACTAAATCAGAAACAAAATGTACGAGATGTCTTATATTTAAGATTTGCAAAAAAATGCTAAAATGTTTGCTCTATCAAGACATTTCTTCACAACAACATTCGAAATTGAAAAAAAAAATCCAATCAAAACATCACATGCATACTGACCGATTACCTACAAGAATTGGGTAAGCCGTGTTCATCCACACTAAGCACACTGATTACACACATGTAGCACACACTAAAGCCAGTTATTACCATAAGTTGTGGTCTATGGGTGTGATGATAGTATAACTGTGAAGAAGGCACAAAGTCTTGGTGCAGAATAAGGTACTCATCGTACTCAGCAAAATGAACTCTCTTCTACAGAAGCAACACATGGAACACACAAAAAGGAGAACAGAGCAGAAACTGAGAAAATGAGTTCAGTTTAACAAAGTAAAAAAACACATGCAAGAAAAGGGAAAGAAAGAGAGACAGAAAAGCAATAAGCTGTGAAAAACACCTAAAACAGAATCTAATGTGTGGAATGTGAAATACTAGTACCATATCAACATTTCTGGATAAGTTTCTGATAACCTTTGTACATGTACATGTACAAACATACTTAGAAAGATATGCTTAGTGAGCTACATTGTACATTGATGTACTTATTAAGAAACTTATATACGGCACGTCTTTCCGTGACAGAAGCAACAGTCTTCTAGGGCAAAGAAAATTAAAAAAACTTTAGCAGCACTTATATGGCATGTTGTGCCTATTGTCGGCTGCAAAGCTGACAGACCTGAAAGTAGCATCTACATGACACCAGAATTAGAACCAAAGAGACGAACAGAGGAATGTGGTGTTACACAAAATTTGGCATACATTCAATGTCTATGTCAACGAATTTAGTGACATGCCTAGAATAGAATTGACTCAGAAAAGAAGACTGGAAAAGAAAAAGTTGCTATACTCCAGACTGAATAAATTATGGAAAGTAAAGCTCTTGTTTCAGTTCTGATGGACAGGAGGGGGGGAAAGGAAAATACTTTGGCCAGTAGGAGGCAAAGCAAACAGTGAGCAACAATAACAAATATGTTCTTTCAACTGTCAGCCTGTCAGGGCTGAGGGTTTCCGCCAGTAGGAACTGCACCTCAGGTCTCCACCTCTGCTGCCGCCTCAACTCATGTGTCATTTCTTGGGAGGTTTACAGGGAGGTGCTGATGTTTTCTTTGATTCCTTCAGACTACTGTTACACCGGGGTTGTCAGCGACTGATGGAGAAATGTTTGGGGCCACTTCAATGGTAGGGAAAACAAATGGATCCTCTGCAGTTGGAATGTGACTGCTGCCAAAACCTCTTGAGTTACAAGGTGCAAAATAACCTCTTATTGACTGAGATGTCTCTACTGTAAGCTACAAGCCAAATCAAGGCAAACATTTGTCATGAAGTCCCAGAGAGGAAATCATGGTAAAATATTTTTAAGTTTGAAATACTGTTGGTGTACATGTTTGATGGTGACCCTGTACACAAAAAAATATGATTATTTTTAACCAGGAAGCTATTGCCATATATAAATTTACAAATATCAATTACAGAGAATACATCTCATTCATACTTTGTGGCTACATTTGTCTACATCAGCACTAGGCTGTCAAATTCTACTGAACATCAACATGCACTTACAGCAACTGATGACACATTGGAGCCGTACCCATCATCCTCTGCTTCACCCTGTGAAACACCAATCACAGATCAGATGACATTGGGATTTTCAGGGGATCTGCCTCCCAACACCAAAGTTTATAGGATTCATCAGAGAAATCCCTAATACAATTACGTGTGATCTGGCAGGTCAAGACTGAGCCCTGAGAGTTTGGAGCAGGGTGAGGCTTCATTAACTACTGCTGCTGTGGTTTGAGGTTCTGGTCCATGGGGAAGACTAAAGCTCTTAACCCTACTTTCCAGATACTGGCCCACTGCCGCATGGCATGAATCCACAATGTAAAGGGCATTCTATGTCAAAGAGTTATCTGTTACATTCCACACCTACAAAGTTAAAATGACACGACTACAGACTAGATGTTCATGAGTTAAACAAGTGAGCTTACTAAATTGTACATTGTACCTGATTATTCACAAATGGGAAAAAAAACAAAGGTGATAGAACGTTACCTTCTCAGATATGGATGCCGTGTCACTCCTAATGGAGACTGTGTCACTGCGGGAGGACCCTGTCTCCATTCTGGAGGAAGAGTCACTCCTGGGAAGCTGCAGCTCTGACTTGGGGCCACCATTTTGACTCTGGGCGGGAGGGGAGGGTCGTTTGAAAGTAGGGGAGTGTGCATCGTCTAAAGGTGAAGGTGGCGGTTCATGAGGTGGAAACTGGTTGTGTGTGATTGCTTTTTCAAAGGAAGGTTTACGAGCCACCGACACTGGTTCTTTAAAGGAAGACTGACGGTTTACTGGTAATGGTTCGTCGTTACGCTCATAGGGACTCGGTGGTTGGTTAAACGATGGCTGTCTGCGAATTATCTCTGGTTCGTCATAAGGTTGTTGTTGGTTGTAGTCGTTGAAAGATGGCTGCCGGCGGACTAGATCTGGTTGTTGGTAGGGCGGCTGCCAGCCCGCTTCATGCTCAGCTGGTGGTGCTGGAACATCCCAGTCTCTTCTCACAGGACTAGCCTGCATGTACAGAGATTATCTGACATGATTTCATGCTGTACAACACTCAAATTACTACTGATTGATGCTGATCTACACACAGATTAATTCCTATCTTAGAATTATAACTAATTATAAGCATGACTGCCACAATATTACATCTGATAATTGGAAGGTTGGATGGCTTCATTTGCATGTAGAGCTGAGACCTGTTCCCACCAGACAATTATAGCTTTGGTTAGAAGGAGCCTCTTGGCTCCAAGCAGGACGCTGCTACACACCACACCACCACTTTATTAACCAAAGCTACTGGGGCAAGTCTTCCCATTCTCCAGTCAATACTACATGAATATATTCAACACTCGGCTCTCTTGTCTCCAGCCCAACATGAATAACATTACATGGTTGCTGATTCGGGGCAGTCTGTGTGCACCAGACTTAATAGTCTGTGAAATAGCTGTGTGCTCATCAAACTCTGTATCACATTGATTGGACTCTCCCAGATTAAATCTTGTAATGCTACTGAAGTTTAATCAGACTTTTTATAATCCTATAATGTTTGACATTACAAGCCTTATGACTTCTCACATCTGTCAACAGGGTAAGTCAGGCCACCAAGTGCCAGTCAGGGTACCAGGTAATTACTTAGGGTAGAAGCCAGTCAGCTATACCCACAATAACTAATCCAATTTCTCCTCACAAATGAGCTTTTGCTCCCTGCCCTCCCCATGGTACTTTCTCCTCTAAGAGACCTGAAGGGGGGAGACTTCCCCACACTTTTCTTCTTATCTCTTCTCAGCCTAGATTCAATTAAGACAAGTGATCTCTGCTGAAACCTGCATAGGCAGCACTGCTTCAGGTGGAGTCAAGGGTGAAGACAACGTTGTCAGTTTTGTATCAGATAAGGAGAAGCAATGTCTTCTCTTCCAAACATCTATATTACATGGAAACAGGTAGTAGGTCATGGGACCACTATTACGGGTGGAGTCAAGGGTGAAGACAACGTTGTCAGTTTTGTATCAGATAAGGAGAAGCAATGTCTTCTCTTCCAAACATCTATATTACATGGAAACAGGTAGTAGGTCATGGGACCACTATTACAGATAGAGTCAGGGGTGAAGACAACGTTGTCAGTTTTGTATCAGATAAGGGAAAGCAATGTCTTCTCTTCCAAACATCTATATTACATGGAAACAGGTAGTAGGTCATGGGACCACTATTACAGATAGAGTCAGGGGTGAAGACAACGTTGTGAGTTTTGTATCAGATAAGGGAAAGCAATGTCTTCTCTCACTAACATCTATATTACATGGACACAGGTCAAGAGAACTCCAACACCACCAAAATGGCACCAGTGAAAGAAAAAACTAGGGATACTCACAAGTCCAGGAGGAGGGGGTAAGGGGGGTTCTTGAAAAGCCAGATAGCTGGATGGTTGGTCTGGAGGCTGGTATGGGATGTTGTTCTGAGGTTCCTCTCCTGTGTACTCAAGCTCTTCCACGGCTAGAGGGCGGACTCGTGACACCTGTGCCGTGGGCTCTCGATACTTCTTCTTCAGTACTAGGAACTTCTCTCCCTGAAACATCAGTGGTGGCGTCATAGGTATGGATAAAGTTTTCTCATATGAAAGAATGCATCTGCTTGTCAACTTAACATTCCAATATCATTACTTTTCTTAATCTACATGCGCATACATAAAGATGATGACCAGTCATCTAACCATTGTGCATCTCCCAAGTTCCCTCCCTCAAGCCCTCCCTCAAGAACTGCTCTAAAAGAAAAACATTACTGAGGCATGTTTCCAACTATAGATCCTATTAACACACCTTATGCATGTCTTCAAGTAAAGAATACAGCATCTGTTTTGTTCAAATCCTAGGTTACATTACAGTAACATGTGTGGTCATATTGTGTGGCAACAAGCATGTATGTTATATCTAACCATAAACAGTGTAGTATAGCACCTCCTACATTTTTTTGTCCAACAAGAGCACCTTTGGGCAGTGCATTGATTTAATGCAGGCAGTGTGGTCAGACATGGCAGATGTAATGGTAATTCAATAGTGATTGATCCTTGGGGCGAGGGAGTCTTGCCAACAACTGGCATATTTTCTGCTTGACTTCTGCTAAAGTTAACACATCTCACCAGGCTCCACAACAGGAAATGTCAGGATGTGTTATAAAGTTACTAAAGAGTCCCAGCTTTTAAAGTATCCTTGGGCACTGCCTGCAAATCTTCAAGATAGTCAGATATAAGAGCCACATGTATACATATACATTGCATTTAGATATCAAAAAAATTAAAATCTTGTAACAGTTGGGGGTTTATAGGCGCTACCAACTGACCCAGCCAACGGGTCTAGACCTTTTAGCTCACTCAGAGTGTCTGACTGTGGCCCGGGAGCCGTGAGTTCGAATCCGGCCCGGGACCAAGGGGTTTTTATCTGTTTCTACTGTCTCCTCCTGGTTTCTTACACTGGTTCCCACACCGGCCCTGTGAGTTCTGGCAAAGAGTGCCGCTCCAGGGATGTCGAATTCGGAAGATTCGAGGACGAATCTTGAAAAGAAAAGGGGGAGTAGTGTAACAGTTGGGGGTTTATAGGCGCTACCAACTGACCCAGCCAACGGGTCTAGACCTTTTAGCTCACTCAGTTAGAGTGTCTGACTGTGGCCCGGGAGCCGTGAGTTCGAATCCGGCCCGGGACCAAGGAGTCAAGTCGAGAGAGAGAAGAGAGAGAGACCAAGGCGTCGTCCGGTCACCCGGGTCCGAAGCGTCCGTCTACTCCGGCCAGGAGTTAGTAGCTTATAATGGTTCCATGAGTCTAGATTAGCGGGTCTACTTACCTTTGTAGACCGAAGCCTCCCGTCACTTCTGACTAGGTATGTAATAACTTTCTAGGTAACATTTGTGTTGTGCTTTAGTCAGGGTTTTAATGTGTAGTGTTCATGTACTCTTGTAGCTCTTCCGTGATGTCCAGTTAGTCCTTTTCCACATGTAGTTGATTATACTGTATCGCCACTATTATATATACTTATAGAACCGTTAGAACCTGCTTTCCCCTGGCTTGTGTCTGACTTGCCTGACTTTGTATTAGGTTCGGAATTGAATGAATAAACTTCCGGTGGTGCGATCGAATCCCGTGGCTCGTGTCGATCCATCTGGTTCAGCTAACGTAGTGAGAGTACGTTTAGTGTTTAAGACCTAGGATTGACGGTAATCCGCCCTAGACCTCGACAATACTTGGGAAGCAGCGAAAAGACTGTTGTTACAATCTCATTCAAAGCTGATATCATAAATTTTAGCAATGCTTTATTTTCATTCATGTTCTGGGAACTCTTGGCAAAGTTACAAATATTTTTAAAAGTGTCAATTTTTGCATGATATTTCTATAAAGACATCTCTGTTGAGAGTTGCTGACATTTCACCCTTTGCTTGGTGATGCTGACAACTCTTAGTACTCTTAGTACTTTCCCTGTCACCCTTCATCGCCTGCCAGTTGGAACCTGTCTAATTACTCTTCACATTCCTGTTGGCTTATTCCACAGGGCAGGTGCAAGGTTGTGGGTGACAACACTGTTGTGATCCAAGCAAACACTGCAATGAGTGATGATGGAGCTCTCTATACAGGGATCCAGCTGAGGACCTTCACTCACTCTTAACAAACTACCCTAATGTTTGCAGAGATTTGTGAAGAGTTGCACTGTTCCAAAGCAGCTGCTGTTGTGACATTGTGATCTCCAGTTGTCTGGTTGGTAAGTTTCAGCCTGGTGAATTCCCCCTTCTCCTGCTCCTCATAATGACCAGCTATCAGAAGGGATCCCTCCCCAGGGCTGTGCCCTGCCTCCAGTCTCACATACCAATTGCAGCATAAAGACACCACAGGCAGTAACTAATCCCACCCTGTATAAATCATAAACACACCTTTGGCCTCCCAGCCATCCATCCTGCCACCAACCTGTCACATACAACTTAACATGGTCCCCACTGGTCATGGCCAATGTTTGTCTGGACATCTTTCTTTGTTCAACAAGCCCAGCTGTCTGTCACCTGTCAGTCTCCCCATCAACATGGCAGCCCAGTTTATCATGGGGTAATAAAACATTTCCTACAGACTCTACCTGTGCCAGGAGGAGGACAAGATCAGGGGAGGGACACAAGGGTGACAGGGGCTCACTTAACACCTGGCTGGGATATTATGGGGAATGGATGAGAGGTGAAAGTTCAGTGGTGTTGTGACATGGTCAGTGCCCCAGACAGGGATGGAGCCCTTTAATATGTTACTCCTGGGCTGTTGACAGTCCCCCTCATTGGGACCATTGTCCCTATTCCAATCTTGCAAATGTTTAGGCAGCTGAGACCTCCTGGCACACTTTGGTGGAAATACTTGAGAGAAAGGATACAAGAGGTGGGAGTTTTGTTGGTTCTTTGCCAAGGGGTAACTTGGAATGACAAGATTTGAGAGGTGGTGTGTGATAAGTGAGCTCTCTATGTCAATTCTCGTGCAGTTTTCCAACTAACTACAAGTCCAGCAAACATTAATCTATAAACTTGCAAGTCTCTATGTTTTTTTATCCATCATTCCAAGTTAACTTAGTTATGTCAGTTTGCTAAAAACAAAAACAAACTGGCTTTAAAAGTGTAGTTATGACTTTTAAAAAACAAAAACACTGGTAAACAAAAAACTTGGTATGGTTTCAAAAGAGTGCCGAGTGAACTGTACTAAAGTTGGGGGGAGAAACAATTATGTGTCATCAGCTCATTTGATATGCATGTTGCGTACCTACGGCAATACTACATGTAAAATACCACATAAACAATGTAATTATAATTACACACACGCAGTTAACGTCATCGAACATAATTTTCTTACTCATTACAGTTCACATTACCACAATACAAACCAAAGGTCTGCGGCAAGGACAGAGGGTGAGAACATAAAAACAATACCAGTCCACACTCCACAGCACAGACAACAAAGCCCATCTCTCAGGTCTACGTACCTCTTCTTGCCTGATCACTGCCACGTTGTTCACAAAGTCCTTAAACTGCTCCCGGGCTTCCGCTGCAAACAAGGCCACAGAAATGTCATTGAACTGAACACAGCACCGACACAAAGGCCTCCCCCCAACTGGAATAAACTCTTCACCAATGACAGGAAGAAAGGTCCCAAATGAGGTCAGCAAAAGGAGACAAACAACTTTTCTAAGCTCTTTTTTTGCCATCAATCAAGTTCAGTTTTGACAGCACCGTCTTTATAGTAGTCTCTCTGATCATCCGGTGATTGACAGATTGGTTAATTTGCCCTCTGATTAAATACAGGCGACACCTGTATACCTCCAGGCTGCTGAAAAAGATACAATTTAGTTACTGTCTGTTGGGTCTAACCTTTACATGGATCTTAAAGTGGATTGTAGTCTAGACCTGGCGATTGTCCAATCTTACCACACAGTGTTTACAAACTTTTCCTGAAAGTAAACACAGAACTCTGTGGGATGTATACCATCTACATGTACCTCCCAGTCAGGGTTTGTCTTAAACAATAACAGTGGCTTTGAGGAGTATAAAAGAAGCATACCAGATCTGGCATGATTACAAACCTTATAAAGACATTACCAGGTGATGCATAACTGTTGTTAAATAATGAGCAGCAGCAAACAATGGAGATGTTATGTGTAACTTATATAAATGTATTTATAATGTTAACACTTCTCAGCAATGTCAGGCAGACCTAGGGGTATAATAGTTTTATGACCCCAGGATTAATGTACATGTACTCTTTACTTCAAACTGGTATACCTAATTACTAATCCAAAATGGAAACCATTTTATGTCATGTATATTATACACATGTACAATTTTTCAACTAATCTGTAATCATTTTAAAACAGGAAATCTTTTTTATTTCAACATAAATACAGTTGGTTGGTCAAACATTATGTTCATTTTCTACTTTACAAAGTGGCTATTACTAGCATAAGGAGAGAACAATGACCAAGTTGGACCAACATAACCATCACTAATATTAATAATATTCGTATCATAACTACCAATAATCTTCTATTCTTATAACCAAATACCATTTGTCATCATAGTACAAATATTGAGTGTAGATATTATCCATGCCTGTTTAACTCATAATTTTTAGATATTTTGGGTTTGAAAAAAATCTGTTCAACTGACATTTGCTAATGTAATTAGAACCTTGCTGAATAACCAATATTTGCCCCATCCGCCTTCCAGAATCAAGGTTAGAACGACAAAGCCCTGATTTTGTTCACATCCACTTCACACAAATTGATAGACAATGCCGTCTTTATCAAATTCAATTGCAGGCGGCGGTGCCAAGTGCTTGTTATCTTCCTCCCTGGCAGTCCTCATAGGAAGACAAATTGGAACTCCCGAAAATGACAGTGACAAATGATATATTACTGCACTATGGATGTTGAAAAATATCTCATTAGTACGACCTCTCCAGCTGGAAAAAATATGGTTAGGATCTCATTATGGCTATGATGAATCTATTAATTCCCATATAACAAATGACACTGCTCCCTTATGCCTTATTTGCCGGCTTCAATATTCAGAATGAAATTGCTGCTTAGAAGGGGATAATATGAAATGTCAAGGTGTCAAATTACTAATGTAAATGAATGGTTTGGGAAGATTAATCCATTTTTCTGGGGGAGAACAGGGGCAACTAGCTGCAGGCAGGAATAGTGGAGTATTGGCTCCAACATATGTCGTCACATATCCACTACACTCACTCAGAACATTCATCATGATGATAGAGAACTACAGCATTGACTCAATATGGGAAAGGGAACTTGATAGAGGTACAGAGTCAGGAGAGTTTTGGTATGTCTGCCCTACTTTGAGCAAATTTGACAGTGTCTCTTTCATCACAGCATGCTTATATTTTATTAAAATCTTTGAATTATAACTTGGCATAACATATTATCATGATCCACATCTAATCTCCAAACAGATTTTCAGTGAAACAATTGTAACCAATCAGCTGGTAGTATACAATTGGCCAGGCAGTATCCAATGATGATGATTATACTAGTACATTGTACATGTAATGATGGGGTTAGACAATGTTATGTGGAAAATAGCATAGTTTAACAACTGCTTAATCTGCCTGTACTTTTGTACTCTTTTCAGCATAAGGTCATACAAAATAAATAGCTTTCTCAGTGTGGGAAATACCATCTGTATATGCAGACTAGTGCAGGTGAAATTGAAGTTGTAAAGTTACTGTCAATGCATTTATTTTTGCTGTAGTTTTATTTGGAAATTTTGAGGTAGGAGTGAGAAAAAGAAAGTTCATTGTGCTTGAAGTTCACATTTGACTCAATTCTCAAGAACTGTAGAAATACAAAATGTTATTAGAATACATAATATTCATGTAAAACATGAATTTTGCAATAATCAAGAGGTCGGCACAAAATTAAAACTGCTACAGACTTAATAGTTATAACATTTCTATACACAAATTCCATCTTTACATAATGTCTCAACCATGACAACTATCAACTACGAAGTTGACTTGAACAGTTGACCTATGAACGAATATTCTGCCTGGAGTTAATTATTATCATATTACTCGTTTGTTTATCTGATATGTATGGAGGTATTTTCAAACAAACCTTTGATCCTATGTAGCCAAATGTAACTTTCCTAACTGTGATTTTGACTAATAGGTTGTTTCTGATACTACATTGTACAGGAGGTTGTGTTCGTAAGAAAAATGTAACGTTACCTATTTAATTTTAACTGTCCAAAACCCATATACCGGAAGAGATGGAACTGTGGCTTTCGACGAAACTTTCAAAATTATGACGTCAAATTACAGACATAATGTACATTTTCTGGTACACTTTTATAAACCACAACACCACTACGCACGCACACACACACCACCCCAGCCCCCACATAAATTTCTTTATCCCCAAAGGACACACCCATTTATGGAACATAATAAACATAACGTTATGTAAGATAAGTCAAAAGTTACTTCCTGTTATGTCATTTGTTTGAACTCTAACTGATTTTCTATACACAGCTAAGGCACAGATACTGAACATACTTTAAATGAATATGTTTTCTTTCGTTGTTTTTCCAACTAATCGAGCGAAGGCACGATAAAAACTATATTTAGGTGGAAATGACGTTTGTTTGTGTGCGTAATCATCCAAACGTAAACATCGACCGTTTTGTTCAAATCAGGCGCCATAGACCGGTCAAAACCATACCTTTTCTAGCAGGATCATTCAGGTGTTGTCTGAAGTGCGTTACAAGTTCGACATTACGCACTCTGCCGCCTCTATCGGCGATAAACTGCTTCACACCGTCGAAGGTGAACTCGTAGTCCGCCATGTTTAGTTGAATGACCAAAATGGCGGCTTCCGGTAAAGCGGGGCATCATGGGAAATACCGAGCTCCAATTTCAACTTTCACTTTCAGGATTGTTTTCTTTGCACCTGCGAGAGTCAGGAAACGTATAAGTACGTTTTTAGTGTTGCATCATTAAAAATACAAATAAATAGATTATTGAATGGATCGGACGGGCAAAAACCAATAAAATTTGTCGAAACAAAATAGTTAAAAGTGCTCAAGCCTTATCTGAACTTCTGTGCAACCTTGGTGCAACATGTGGATACAGGTTCGAAGGAAAGATATTTTTACCACCGAGTAAAGCAGCTAGAGACTGTCCCAATTATGTGGGTTGTTGACCAAACAAACTCTTCAATAGATTGCATTTAAATACATGTAGTTTCCACAATCACAATGTATGTAAGAGTTGTTGACAAGGCCTAGGCGTAAAATAGACTTATTATTCTACCTATAAACATCATTTCATGTTAAGATCGATCGTACCGGTATTTCATCGATACATCTAATATCGGTGAGATTTTATTCCAGGTTGACATCCAGATTTGCGACTGACACTTCTCTGTGAAAGATGCTAGGGGATGACCTCCAGAACTAAGACAATCAATGTCTGTGTCATACTTTGTTCCAGGACATATTCAAGGCCACTGGATTAGAAAGCCGCAAGATGTTGAAATTTAAATCCTTGTCACGAACTCTCGGTCGCTCCCCGACACGTCTGCACTGATAGGTGCTGACACCGGGCGTCCACCGTGCCACCATGTCAAGCACCATCGCCCGTGCGAAATTGGGTCTGCGATGAGTCCACGCCAGACAAGTCCTTAAACCTTGGGCCGGGCAGCGTGAAATTGAAGTCTCAATTTCATCTTTGATGAAAGTACGCGTTTACTTTGTGAAGTAATTAATTTGTGGACGAAAGTGGCTTGATGGCGCACCATATTGTCGGCACGGTCCATTCTCCTTATAGAATGGTATTGATCGGAGGCTGCGGAGGAAGGCAATGACCATTGACAGCATTTGTTACACGAAGTTTCGCCGGCAATGAAGAGGCTGTGCGCGCGCTCAGGACGGATTACTACTGACGGTCACTACTGACTCCGGTTTCCGGAATCCGGACATCACGACTCCGGTGGACGGACTGAGAATAGCAGATTTCACGGAGCACTGAGTCTACTTCTGCTTCAAAACCACAGAAACATAATAACAAGGCGGTGTTCACTAAATTAGCTCTTTGAGGACCAGACCGATTTCATATCTGCTTGATAAACTGCCATCAAAGTGATGGATACTGCTATCTCCTTGTGTACTTAGAGGGAAAACAAAAGGGTCATCTCTTCCAATATAGACGGCCTGCGAACAAAAGACATCAGCGCCACCGCAATTGAGGTCCACTCGGCTGGCTCCGGTCAGCAGGCGATTTATTTTCTGGCCCAAAAAATCGATATCCCCGAAATTGTAATCATGAGCAAGTGTATTGATATGGGGAAATTCCATTAAACGAAACATTAGAGTATTAGGCGTGGTAATGTCTCTGATAGGGTAGAGCAAGTGCAAGGCAAGTCATCACTCGCTCCAGCCCTATCTTTATAGACCAATGCCATCTACAAGGTCCGTAATCTGCGCGGCGGACACACCAGACGGGTTGGTGCGCGGATTGCGCGGGAAGGAAGCCGCCACTTGTTCTTTCCCCTGAACCGTGCACTTACCGTGATGACAAAGACTATGTTTTATTCGTGTCCGAGGAAAAGAAAATTGAGATGGAGCACCCTTGTCTCTCATTGAGAGAAATTATTCCCTTCCGCCGTCTCTGTAGCTTTACAGGTAAAGTTTAGGGGAGATGAAGTCATAAATCAGTGTTGTCGTGCACTGCGGACGGGCGAGACGGCCAGACAGAGAGGAATTAGATCGTGAATCGTTCTTATCCATTTTACTTCCCTTAAGTGATCGCCCCTGAAAGCTCTGTGTTTTGCTTTTATGGTACAAATGGCCATTCCGATTTGACTATCAAACCCTCTCGGATCTTTTAAAGTCGAGAGGACTGGGAAAGTGGCCCATAGACAACTTGTACATGTAGTGACATCGGTAAGCGGCATTCAAAAGTATGTTTCCTTTTTTATGTCTTCACAGTCTGTCTTTGAGTACATGCCGGGGGGGGGCCGGGTGACCACCAGTCTTAGGGACAGCCACGACTAGTCTAGGTTATATCAGTATTGTTCCCAGTTGTATTGAATTTTTTTGCCTCAATCAGATCAGAAATTACATTCTCTCTCACACGGGTCATTGTCGCTTTCCCACCGGCACCCCACAAACCACTATTAGTGGTCAGTCCCTTAGAAGTTAGAACACAGGGAACGAGAAGTGTACGCCGCAATGTGGTGTAGCAGTCATGCGGGAATGACATCAATGGATCACATGCTGCATTTCAATTACTTCACATTTCCAGACAGGAAAACGGTGTCTAGAAGTACCAGGTTTTAGCCAATGACATCATTTCCACAATTTCCTCTAATCCAAATCAACCCACAATGCGCTTCGGGGCATCCTGGTCCGGCTCAGATACATTGCAGCAATGCTATAATGTAGGGGAAAACTTGCCATGTCATCCCATTCAAAACTTGTGCGGGCTATTTTCAAAGTACACTTTTCAACTATAGGCGACGGCGACGTTTCATTATCAAATTGCGCACAGTCCATAGTCATCGTGGCCTGGTATGTTATCTCGGCCATGGTCACCATACTGGCAGCGCATAATCCCCGGCCATTGTGACAATAAGTGGAATTGCTGTCCCACGATACGGAAATTTAACAGATTACAGTCACGAGTAGCTGGGTGTGACTACATCACTGGTGACGTTATACTGAACACATATTGACTTTTACTTGGCACTCCAAGGACATTAGGGCTAAAGTATTACGACTGAAAGACGACAGCAAGTCATGAACTACGACTTACAACCCATCCATCCCTCCTGGCCATGCATCATAATCACTTCTCAAAGGAACTCAAAAAAGCTTTCTGGCTAATAAATTGTTCATCTGATACACGGCGTTACATCGAGATAAAGATAATCAATAACGTCTTGTTTCTCCATTCTGCCGTCTGCAGGAAGGGCCACACCCACCGGTCCTCCTCCTAAGGAATAAATCTTCAAGTTTCCTCAGGAGCCGATGGAGGAGTGCCAAACACTGGGGTATCTCAGAAAAACAGACACTTCTCTTGTACATATGATAGTGTTTCTAAGCAAGTTTACAACCATTGAAGTGTAGCCGAGAGCAGCATCATGATTATAATGTGCATTGCTATGCAGTGTGAGTGAGGGGCAGTTTGTTGCATAATAACACGTACATTTGTGACATTTGATTTTTACATTAGAAGTGATACTAGTACTCAGCAAGTTTTTTCGGGACATATGTATTTACAGAGTAGATTTTATCTTGTCACGTATGAAGTTTCCAGAAACGTGCATTTCTAATTCACCGCTCTGCAGTGGTTTGATCTGTACAGATGAGCTCCAGGCTTGGCGCGCACACTCTCGCCACAGGGCGTGTCAAAAGTAATCCCAGCAAACAAGTTGCTGACGAAGTAACTATGTGATGATTTCTTATTAAAACCCGTCTTCCTTGTACTCTAATTCCCTTCTCCTTCCCCCCAGTTCCTGCCCGGGATCGTGCTGTAGAAGTTCCCCTTGCATTTGCAACCCCGCTGGCACGGAAGGAAGCGAGGAAATGGCGGGAGGATGTCTCAACACGGATCTTCACTTTCTGCCCTTTCTCGTGCCTTGACCCTCCCGACCTCCTTGTCTATTCCGGTCGGAGCGCCGAGTGTTTTACAAAGTTTTTCTTCGTGTTCAGACCAGGACTGCGCTGTTCGACACTTTTTGTATACTAGTACCACACAACGACTGAAAGCGTGTAGAAGTAGATGGACAACTTTTGGTAAAATATTATTACGTCACCAAAAACTATAATATAATTTGTTGGTTGCCTGCAACTCATTCATTCACATTCCTCGCACCTATTCACTGGTCTGATACAACAGATTAAATTCTAGAGAAGGTAGTTTTCCCTCCTCATCACTGCCCATCCGGTACAGACTACAGACGCCTGGAAGCGAAGAAAGTGTGTAAAAAAAGTGCCAAGGGTGTCTCACGGGTGCACTTAGGAAATGAGTGAATCTGGAACACTGATGTTCTATGTGTCTAACCTTTTCAAGTAACCTGTTTCGTGTTGCACAGCCGTAACTCGGGCGCTCTGGGTCTATCAACCCTAACCCTGTACCAGGACCTGTATCTCGCAGAAACATCTAGATCACAGGAAAGCGCTTCCAGACGCTCTTTCTCAGTATGGGGCGGCGAATAAAGTGCACGAAATGGTCCGTGCGGTCGCAAACTTCAATTCCAAGTTGGTCTTTTTGTACTACAAAATACATAGCGAACAAGTTTGTGCTGTGACTCCAGCGACGTCAACGTACTAATGGTCACTAGTACCAGTAGTATGTTATCCTTGCTCGACGAAGCCAATTATTCACAAGCAAGCAACTTTCAGGCGCTGTAATAGAAAGTGAAAGTTCACATTTGGTCTGTCTACAAACACCTGGTTTCATCCTCCACGCTATATTATCACATTACATTTATAATCCGCGAGGATAATCGACATCTCTATGAACGTGTCACCGTCTCGACATATTTTCATCCGTAAAATTTGAAGTTAGGTGTGTCCGCTTTAGTCTGGCCGCAGACTCAAAGGGACCGACCTAGTAACTCATAACCGCACCTCGATCGAGCCATTGACTCCAACTCGCCTGTGCCGCGCGGAGCGGTCATTCGGGGCTGAGTTATGGCCGCTGGCGGCTGGAAGAGGTACGTTTGTGATAGCTAACATCGGGTAAGTAAACATGTGCGGCCCATATGGCACGGGGCGGCCGCAGACAGCCGACGCCAGTGTTTAACATGTTACAGGACCTCTCCTCTCCCGCCGCAACCGGCTCTGAAGGGCGGGCTGTTGTGCTTGTTGCAACATCT